ACAAAGGAATGACAAAGATAGGCAGATATATATATATATATCTCTCTCTCTCTCTCTCTCTCTCTCTCTCTCTCTTCTTCTGCACAGCCAAAGAGGGAGGCCGTCCCCCCTCCCGCGCGCGAACGCGCACTGGGTTCTTGTCTGTTGTGAGAACTTGCTCCCCGATGAGGCCGATGTGTAAGAGCTCGCGACCCCCATGCTAAAACCCCGTACACTAAGTACCCACCGGCCTCGTCACTGGGGCTACAACTTGCTCTGTGTGTCAACTCGCAGCTTATTGCCGCCTTGACATCTCGTGCTGTTCCGGTGACCCCTCATTGCAAGACTCTCTCTCTCTCTCTCTCTCTCTCTCTCTCTCTCTCTTCAAATACAAGTATTGCTAACAACACATACAACAATCAACGCTAGTCAACACTCAATAACAGGAAAGTAGTATTTCACATACGATCTCAACATCAACAACAGCATCCAAGTATGCCATGTATGTCCATAATGATCATTATCCNNTACCTACCCGCTTGCTTGTGATTCGACCGATGCTTATCATGTAAGATATTCGACACCTCAAGTATGGATGCCGTTCACCAAGCCAAGCTTCTGAAATTTCGATATTAAACTATATATCGCGGTCGGTCCAAAACTTGTTGGCTTTTGGTCTATGTAATGTACCACTTAGCCGACTTAGCCATATACTATTTAGCTAGGCATTTAGTATTATAAATATAAACCTTGGTGATATAGACCCTAAAAGTATCGGGCTCATATTGTATATATAGGGCCGAAGAGGGCATAGTAATGGCATGGGCCACTCGGTTTTCCGAGGCGCTGCAGCCAGGGAAGTCATGCCGCGGGGACTCTCATAGAGGGAGTCCTTCATCTTCTCCAGGATCTCCTTTTTGGTGTCCGCTCAGACTCTTTCAGCTCTCAGAGCTTTTAAAGTGAGGCTTCGTGCGTCTGCGCGCCTCTGGTGCTTCCGAGGCCTCCAAAAGAAGTCCCAAGAGACCCGGGACCGGACCGGAGCCAAAAGCGAGCCGAGCCTGCTCCTCCTCGAGCTCCTTTGCCACCAGGCCGTTTCCACGTTCAGCCTCTCTTTCTTACATGGGCTGCTAAAGGCTGGCCCGGGTGATCCCCACAAAAGATCCCTCCCTGCGCGCGAGCGCGCGTGTGCGCAAGTTCGCCTCCCGGCGCACGCCGCTGGTGAACTCTGCCGCAAAGGGCTGGATCGGCAGAAGCCCCTGGGGAACACCCCCCCCGCGGCGGCGAAGGCGGCGGGCGCAAGGACTGTTCAACGATGCCTCCTCGGCGTAGCGGTCGAAGATGGCACGCAGGTCCTGGCAGGAAGGCGAGGAGGCCCAGCAGGGCCCCAGCGGGCCCAGCGTGTCCTTCTCGCTGACACCGGCACTGTATGGCAACAAGGCGCGCATGAAGGTGGCTGGCTCAAGCCATCCAGTGCCAGAGAGATCGTGATGCCGAAGATCCCTTGCCAGGAAGTTCTCCTGACAATTAAATTAGGGGGTTCCTATGAAGCGCTCTTTTCGGCCTGAGGCCGTTAGTTAGCAGCTCCTCAGTCGTTCGACTGTGCACTCGCTGTTGGATCTTCGCGAGAATCGCCTGAGAACCGACTGGGCTCTGTTTTCAAAGAAGCGGCGAAGGGGAGATGCGGCAGCCGGTTGTGCCTCCTCGATCTGATTGGTGTCCTTGGGCAAGGAGAAATCCTCGCATCTGCGGGAGCGAAGGGGCTAAAAGCCCTGCAGTGCTCGAAGGCTGCTCCTTTGGCGCCATCGCCGAGAGATTGGAGGCTATGGCTGTGGTTTCAGAGGACCTTCGATATATATCGGTTGCTTGAATCTTAAGGCTTCCCGAAGATACACTGCTGGAGCTCTTTTTTGCTCTTCAACTTTCATTCCTGCACCTGCGCTGCACGTCTTGCATCCCCTTTGAGCCATTTGAGGCCTGGACCCGTGACGTGTGCGCCGTCAACTGCTTCGCACTTTCATAGAGGGCCATTTTTCTGCGTGCCCTGGCCTCTCTGAGGGCCTCTCTGGCAATCGATCGCCGCCTTTGCGCCCTTACGGGAGGAGGCACTTGGGCAGAACCGGAGAGAGGGTCTCTCAAAACCGCCCGACCGGTTTTCGCGCCCTGAACAGAGAAGAGCGGGCAAGTCTCAGCGATCATCTCATCGTGAGGCACCATTCCCCAGGATTCTGGCAGTGAAACAGAGTCACGAGTCTGACGCGGGATCGCGCCGGCTGCCCAGCTCCGGCTCCCGTCCCGTCCTCCATGTACTGCTTGAAGGAGTTGGAGAAGCGCGCCAAGGCGGCGCCGTCCAAGTGGCGATGGTCTCCGACCTTGGAGAGAGGCAAAAACGCGACGCAGCGATTCTGCGACCGATTCTGCGCTGGGCCCCCGAGCCCAACGGATGTTCATGACTTGTCGGGGCACCAACTGAGACGGACGAGAGACTCTGCGATGCAGCAGTCTGCACTTGCATATATGCTGCGATGTGACGGCGCTTTCCACAGAACGCGCGGCGGACGCGAGACTCCGCGAGACGCCCGCGAGACGCGGGCCCCTCGCCTCCATCTTGGCGTTGTAGCGGGGCAGCGCCATGGTGCGGCCCGTGGCGCCGATCACGGCCTGGCCGTCGAAGAGGATGGGCCTCGGGTCCTGTCAAAGCTCCGCGCCGCTCTGCGTCTGAGCCCCCCCCCAAGCGTCTTTTTGGGGTCTCCTTGGTTCCGATGACGCCGATGTTGGAAAGTGTAATGGTGCCACCCTGGACAACAGGCACTGACGGCGAGCTTGCCGTGTGAAAAGAATCGAAGGGCCTGGATGTCGTTGAGAGCCAGCTTACCTGCCTGCGCCGCTGCAGCCAGGCGCATCAGCTCCTGCCAGCGGCTGCGCCCGCTCGTCGGTGCCCGTCGGTCACTCTGCTGGTATATGCCGTCGACCCCTCATCCGCCCGCGGCAGGGCGTCCTGCTGGATCTCGATCACGTTCTTGCCGCCCACATCCTGCGCGCGCGGCGCAGGCCAAGACGAGCGCCGGACACGAGCGCGGCCTTGATGTTGGGGACCATGAGTCCGTGAGGCGTGTCCACCGCCACCTGAAGAAGAAAAAAAGAGAGCGGCGCTGCGGCGGCGGCTCTTAAAGCCGAGCTCGGGGCGGAGATGTTGTGAGATCCGTAGACGGTGTAGCTGGGAGGATTCGCCTCCGAGGGCCTGGCAAAGGGGGGACAGCGCACAGAACGCCCTCTCCGCCCCCCACCCTTTGCCTCCACTCTGCGCCTTGCTCTCTTTCTTCTTCTGGCTCTCTTTTTTCTTCCCCCCCCCACCCTTCGCGCACCCGAACTTGGAGTTCATCTTCGGGTTGTCGTAGAGGGCCAAGGAGATGGCCTCGCGAATACATGAGTTCCCCCAGAATCCCAACAAGCATTCTTTTGGGATCGCCGAAACCTTTTGGCATCTGCCTGCTGATAGCACAGCCCGGGCTTCAAAAGCTTCTCAGCTACTAGCGGTACTAGCGACAGTGAGGGCAGCTAGAGCAAGGAGCATCTTCTCGGACGTACAGCCGCAAGCATGACAACCTTGCACATGCCTTCAGCATGAAGGAGGTCACCGTAACCTCCCGCGCGTCGCGCCGCGTCTCCCAGGAGTGCACAGCGAGGCTTCGACGCGCCTTGGTCCCGTACTTCTTCAGGGCATAGTCCTGGCCGGCGTAGAAGGAGAAGCAGGGCCGGCTCTGGCTTTGAGCCCGCCTTCAATTGCTTTTGCAAGGCCAGCATGTCGGTCATGTCAATCTCCTGCTTTGCCCGCAGTCTGCATTTCACAGTTGCAAACAGAACATGCCGTGAAACATCTTGTGGCAAACTTGCAGAACAAGTTGAGGACCCGCAAACAACAGCTGTCTATGCGTTCCCTTTGTGGGCCTCCGAGCAACGGGCAAGCGCTGAGACACAAGCCAACACACCCCAAACATCCCCAAACCATCTTCGCATCGCCTTCGCTTGAGCTTGGGCCAGAGCCAGAGCCAAAGCCCCCCGAAGCCCCCAAAGACACACAAAGGGCTTTGGATGGCACCTCCCCCAATGCCATGTAGGGCACCACCAAGGACGCTTGCATGGACTTGACCTCATCTCTGTCAATCTCGATTTGGAACGCATCCGAGTCCGCAAGTCCCGGGCCATGCCCTTGCCAACGTTGTCGGTGATCTGAATCACTTGATCCTGTGCTGAGACTCGCACGCATGTCACCCAGTCTATAATTCCCCCCCTGATAAGCCGCCGCTTCAAGGCCTCCAGGACACGCGCGGCGGGCACGGAAAAGGACGCCGCGGGGGCGCTTGCGCTGGCGCTGGGCGCACCGGCCGCACCGAGATCCTGGCTCTGAGCAAGGCTCTCCACAGCCAACTGCGCCACCTATACAGATCGGCAGATCGACGGGCCCACCTCCTCAAGCACGCGGCCATTCGCCCCTGTGCAGAGCTGCTCGCCGCTGTGCTGCTCGACGCTGCCCGCCCGCTATAGAGTCCGCCTGTTCCCTTCACGGTGTTCAGGTCGATGCCGAGCTTCTTCGCAAGGCTGCGCACCTCGCTTTTGAGGGCACATGCGCAGCCAAGAAGCATTGCCATGCATTGCCCCTCTCGTCACCGCCTTCGGGGTCGCCAGAACGCCCGGAGCAGCCTACGAGTAAGGGCAAATCCCAGTTCGGGCCGGTGATTTGGCTTGCGCCTTGCCAGCCGAAGCAGCTTTCGGCGCCGCCGCCGGGACCGCGGCTGGGGCCGCGACTGGGGCTGCGGCTGGGGCCGCCGCTGGGGCTGCGGGCGTGGGTGCGGCGGGTGCTGGCGTGGATGAGGCGACAGAGGCCTTGGCAAGAGCACAAATCAGAATGGGGTAGGACAGGATGCTGTTGGTGACGGGGGCCCGTGCCGTCTCGATGTCCACCAGAGTGCTTCCGACCTTCACCGTGTCTTGAACCTTGGGTCACTTTGCTGCCTGTGACTTTCTGATCTCTGCATGCGGCAGGGGGCCTTGTAGTGGATCTTCACCACTTTGCCACTGAAGGGGCTGGAGAGCTCCACCGAAGCCTCCCAAAGGCCGAAAAGGCGGGCCGGGGAGGCGGGCCGTCGGGCGCTTTTTGAGCGCCTTGTCGCTCTCAACGGAACAGAGGTTGTCCATCTCCTGATGGTCAGACAGAGGATGTCGTATCTACGGTTCAAAATCCAAAGGGGGGCCCGCGGTGGTTTTTCGGGCTTCCTTTTTTTATAGTAGAGTCTCTCAGTCACCCTCTCTCTCTCTCACGCTGGCCCTCGCTCCCGCCTTGACAACGTCACCTCGCCCGGCAGCGATGAAGAGATGTTATAACTGTCTGCAGCGCTAGACTGGAATCAGCCTCTTCTCCTTGAGGCCGGCACCTTCCTTCACAAACCACTCCGTGAGCTGGACCTCAGCGATGCCCTCGCCGATGTCTGCCAGCTTGAAGGCCTGCACCTTGTGGGCCGCCCCCCCGTGGCTTGCCGCAAAAAACGCCCCCGCCGCTTCCCCGCTTCCTGCCTGGGCACCCCCAGCTGCAGGAGCCGATGCCGGAGCTGCGGCAGCTGGTGCTGCTGCAGGCGTGGCTGGCGCTGCAGGCGTGGCTGGCGCGGAGCCGCCTCCTGTCTCCACGTCGATGAGCACCGAGCCCACTTTCACCGTGTCCTGCACCTCAAAAACTCTTCGGCTCCTTCAAGACTCCTTCAACACTAGTTACTAATTTCGGAGTCGCCGCACCTTGTGGTGGATCTTGGTGACCTTCCCTGTGTAGGGGCTGGTGAGCTCCACGGATGCCTGACTCCAAGTGGAGGAGCACAGAATGCACGGACTCTGCGAATCTTGGAATCGCTGATCAAAACTAGGGCTTCTGTCTGTGGATGCGAGAACAGAAGCCTTGTCGCTCTCGACGCTGCAAACGTTGTCCATTTCCTTGACCTTACGAGGGCATAGAGTTTCAAGGGCCCTTTGCGATGGGGACTCGGCACTCGTCGTCGACTCGTCGTGGTAACCGAGAGGCCATGTCGCCTTCCTTTACGAACCACTCGGTCAGCTGAACCTCGGCGATGCCCTCGCCGATGTCAGCCTCGGCCGAGCACGACGAAACGCATCCGGAGTCCCCATCCCCGCTCTATCCGAGGGGTAAGGGGTCAAATCAAAACACAAAAAGGGGTCAAATCCGAACACGAAAAGAGGCAAGTCTAAACACAAAAAGGAGTCAAATCCAAACACAAAAAGTGTAGACAGGCGCAATGGTTTCGAAGTCCAGGCCCAAAACTGTGTCGCGCGGTTTGCGCACAGTCAGCAGTGTTGCGGCAGTCACTCGAGGAGCGGAGGGGAAGCACGAACCCAGACTCAAACCCGGGGTTCTGTCGGTCTGGGTTTTGGACTTCGGTTTAAAGCTTCAAAATTGCAATTCCCGCTTTCAGATTTCGGGCTCAGGGTCTGAGGTTTGCATGAGACTGAAGGGGCTCAAGAACTGTTGGTTTTGGGTCTGTGGCGTTGATTGGACCTTGAAACCTGGCGTACCGCCCGGTACCCCTGCGGTGAGAGTCGAAGCTTTCAGAAGGTCCCATCTTCTGTTTCTCGAACTTTGGTTTGGGTGCGGTCTGTGTGCGTTGCGCCAAGCCAGACGCGCTATAGGCCGCGTCGAGCACTCTCACGGCAGAGGGAAGCGTCCAGCGTCTTTGCTGGGCGACGCTCTCTGCCAGTCCTTGGTGAACGCTGGGTTGAGGGGCGACCCGATGCGGCAGTCCTGGCCACTGAGCCTTCCCTTCCCGGACGTGAAGTCGGGTGAGGACCTTTCCCCGCAGGAAGCTGAAGGCTGAAGTGGCCGAACTCTCCAAGAAGATGGAAGCCGACTGGCGGTCGAAAGCCGATGCCAAGGATTGGGATTCAGTTGCAGCTAACCTCCAGGTTTACGCCATAGCGGGTCAAGCTGTGGACTCCGATCCCAGGAGGACGCCTGAGTACAGGGCGAAGGTGATCGGAGGCTTGCGCCTCGGCCCTTCGGAAAACCGTCCTGGGATCACGGAGGCTGACCTTGCTGCCAGCAACAGATGGTTGGCAGCAAGGCCGCGGCGTTTTGGGGCGAAGGAACTGCCCGTACTGCGGTCGGAAAGTTTGCGCACGATTGCTTGCTTAACGGGGCCTCCGGTCAGTTCCCAACCGCACCCGCTCCGGGGTGAGGCGGCGCAGTGGGTTGACGATAGGTTCGAAGAGGAGGGCCCAACCAGGTAGTCCATTCCGATGAGAGCTGGCACAAGGGACGACCTATCCAGGTTATTGTTGTAGTAGGCATCGGGGCTGGGAAGCACATACAGTGAAAGTTGTTGTGGTTGTCCAGACACATGACTACACAGATGTACTCGGCACATAGCTCGTCCCCAACGCCCATTCCCAAACCTGAAATACGGTCGCGCGGGCATGCTACACTAGGCGATGCCGTCTGCACGCCCGTTGCGGTGATCTCCATGGCCTCCGAAACTTCAAGGCCTCCAAGAAAGAGGTCCGACGCGTAGGCATTGACACTGCCGTGGCCTGGTCCATCCTTGGTGTGGCCCTTGGTCTTGCCCCTGGACTTCCCTTTCATCCACGCTTGAGCCTCAAACATCATCCCCTTCTTGCCCTCGGTTGTATATGTTTTCTATAGTCTTTTGACAACAGACCTGTAACATTATCGTTGTTTTTTTCGTTTTAGCAACGAATGGACATGGTGATGCAATTGCGGGCCGATCCTTACTTAAATCCAGTACTGGGGGTTAGTTTGCAACCGCAAGTGTGGAAATCATGGAAACGAAAGAAACCATGGATATAAAAGGAACGAAGGAAACTATGGAAACCATGGAAAGCATCGAAACCATAGACGCCAAGGAAACCAGGGAAACCATGCAAGCCATAGAAAACCATGGACACCAAGGAAACCATGGAAGCCACACAAACCATGAAAGCCGAGGGAACCATAGAAACCAAGGAAACCATGGAAACCGCGGAACGCATGGAAACCATAAAGGCCAAGGAAGCCATGGCAGACATGCAAGCCATAGAAGCCCAGAAAAAGAAACAAGAAAGCCAAAGAAACCATAGAATGCAAGGAAACCCAGGAAACCATGCAAGCCATAGAAACCATAGAAGCCATCGAAACCAAGGAAACCATGGAAGCCACACAAACCCCCTGTAAATGGTACTGCACTGACAGAAACGCGTTTGCATTTGACCCTTTTTGGCGCTTGGATTTGACCCCTCCTCTCCCCTATCCGAGCAGCCAGTTTGAACTGCTCCACAGCCAACGCCGCAGTGGAAGTTCTGACAAAACACCGAGCACGAGGACAGGAGGACGAGAGGGGCGTACTGGTCCTGAAGTGTCGGAGCTGCGTCTTCGAGGCCTGTTGCCAGCAGCCGGCCACCTCCGGGCACCGAATGCAGCATGCTCGGCGTGCTGGCTCTCGTGTCACACCCAGCCTTTGGCGGAAAACGAGGGGCCGCGGAAACCGCGGCGAGCTGCCATCGCAGGCTAGCAGAAACAGGCCGCGACGCCTCATTCTGGACCGCTCGAAAGCAGACGCAAGCACTGCAAGCGTTGCATGCTGTGCCCCTGGCTCGCAGCAACCGGGCAGCCATCTCGCCTCCTCTGTGCCACGGGCACATTAAAAGGGAGAAAAAGCTGAACGATTGTTGCCGATATGGCCCTGAGACACGAGCCGCCTTTGGCCCCTGATTTTGCCCCCAAAGCAACTGAGCCAACCAGGAGGGGCTGCATGTGGTTGGGTTCATGCCCAGATGTGTCTCATCAGAGTCTCATCTCATGCCACGTATGCACGTAAGCAGAAGGCGCACAGGTTGGATCTGCTATACAGTCTCTTTTGCCGGTGCTAACCCTTCTGCTTCTGCTGCAGCGCAGCAGCGAGCTGCCGAAGACCTGGCGCTGGGGGCAGAGCTTTCTTGTGCGAATCTCTCCGATTTTGCTCCCTGGGTGCCTTTCTCGGCCACATCCGACCTCCACCAACTCTGACGTCTGAATCATGCTTCTTACGCGCGCACAGACATCATGCAGGCCACTGCATGTCTCAACAAGCGCTCATGACTGCCCATGTGCTTGTGCAGTCGCCAGCGTGAACGAGTCCCGGCATAGGCAGTGGGCGAACCCTCCGGGCCTCTCGAGAGCGTCTGCCCGGGCCTCCAAGAGGAGACACAGAAAAAGCAGGACAAAAAACAGCTGCAGGGCGCGTCCTCGCCGCGGCTGCGGAGAGCGTCCAAGTTGTCCACAAGCTCGGAGAACTCCTGCGCGGACAAACTGCGTGTCCCTGTGCGTGTCTCGGCTCCGAGCGCCCCGGCCCTGCGGCACTGCCTCGTCGTCCAGATCCTCCTCCAGCGGCTCCTCGTCCCCGTACCTAGATAGCAATAGCAACCAACCAATAGCAGGCACAAAAAATGGATAAATACAGCCGCCCGCCGCAACCGCCACTTTTCGGAAAAAAAAAAGCGCCCGCCCGGGTGCAAGCTCTCGAGCTTCTCCCAGGCAGGCGCTTCGGGGGAGAGCAGGAAGTCCTGAGCAGCCCGTCGGCCCGTCGGCAATCCCGCGCCCCGCCTCTCTGCGGCTTTCCGCCCGCCTTGACCCGAAAGCCGCTGAGAGCGTCCGTGCGCGGGACCTTCAGCGGCCCCTTGAGCTCCGAGGACCACTTCCACTTCAAGGACTCCTGCAAAGACTTGGAGACTCAGAGAGGCAAATGGGCGCCTTCCGAACGCGATCGCCTCCCGACTCCCAGCACGCACATGCATGCATGCACGCATACATACATGTCTGTATAGTTATGTGCATATGACTGTATATATGCATATACTTATGTATATATGCTAACCCTCCCTCACATGAACTACCGGGTTGTTGCCACAGCACATATACGCATGACATGCATTCATGCATATATACATGCTCCTTTCCCATGCTTTGATAACGCGTGACCGCAACCCATCACGGCAGAAGCATAATCCGGAATCGTGCACATAACCCTTTTATCCATACTTCCCTTAACTTATTAACCCACGAAAAGTTTTGCATATCCGCCGACCCCCGGGGCGGCGCCCAGAAGTTGTGCTTCACCGTCCCCCTCCTCCCTCCTTGAGTCATAACTTGGCCACTTAATTCAAAGCCAAGGCCCAAGGCAGGACGTACTACCCTCCCAACCCTGCAGACCCCACAGCACCCACCAGACCCCTCCTCCCCTCCTCCCCCACCAAATAACCTCAGACCCCACAGCTCACCGGACCCCCGCTCCTTCGTCATTTAACCAAACCTCAGACCCCACAGCGCACAGCCACACCGGACCCCGCCTCTCCCCCCCTCCTTTCCCTCGCCCACCCTCAGACCCCACACAGGACTGTCAAGACGAATCAACGAATGGGGAAGAATTGAACGAGTTTTCGCTGACTGCACGGTGACTACACTATGCCCAGCAGTTGTTCGAGCATGCAGTTTTGCTGCCTGAACAAACCCAGTCTGCAATACAAGAAACCTGGGCTGGAAAAACCTGCTGAGCTACCGGAGTCGAAACAGTTTGCACACTCGGATTGGTGGAAGATGCAGCCAGTGGTCCTACATGCTAGTTTCAGCAACGAACAATAAACATGTGTAGACATGGCTTTTTTGGACATGTTTTACACATGTTTACACACATTTCGACATGTTTAAACACGAAAATGCTCGCGCTACAAAAACAACGATACACACGAACTAGGATTTTTAGATTTTTTAGGCACCCTCTTTGCTGCAGCTACAGCGTGTATTTTTTCTGCTCGTTTGTGTACATCAACACCAATTATAGACACCCTGCCTTGTACCGCGATGAAGCGTCTTTTCAATAACAAATCCGCCGAGGCCACCGGCCCAGGCGTCTTGGGGGTTAGCTCCAGTACCCTCCACGTAAGCGTCCAATGTCTTCTGGACCCCTCAGTTTTTGCTGTTTTTTTGCGTTCCCCCGCCCCGCCCTACTACCTCCCCCCCACCTCCCTGCTGCGGACATGCACCAACGCCACNNCCGACGTGTGTCCCGTGCCCTCTGCCCCTCAGCAGCCCAGGGGAGCGGCGTAGCGTTAAAATTATCTCTAGGGTACATGTACGTACACGCACGCATGCACGCACGCACACGCACGAGAACACGCACGCACACACGCACAAGCACACGCACGTACACGAACGCACACACGCACGTCACGCACAAGCACACGCACGTACACGGACGCACACACGCAGGTACACGCACAAGCGCACGCGCGTACACGCACAGGAACACGCACGGACACGTAAGGAAATACGCCCGTACACCCAGAAGCACATGCACGTACACGCACGAGCACACGCACAACCACACGCACATACCCCATGCTTTTACCATCCCAACTTAATACATATATTTATTTGAATGCACTTTTTAGGCTTCTGCT